TTGTTTGGTTTTAGTTTTTGTTTGTAAAGTCACCCATTACTTAAGCAGCTTGTTGTATTGTGAACAGAATTCATGGGATAGCTTTTAACGCCGATTATTGTTTTTCTTTGTTTTTTGTTTATTGCTTTTGTTTGAGAAAACGCTCGTTATCTCAGAAACATTATACCTTTGAATCGAGTTGGAGGATAGCTCCTTGAAATAGCTATCAGCGCCGATAATATTTGTTAGTCTATTTTGGGGGCTTTTGTTTATACACGTTATCTCAGAAACATCCAAATTTGGATGGAATTTAGGGGTTAGCTCTATTAGATAGGTATTAGCGCCGATGAACTTGTACTGAGGGTTGGGACGTACATAATTTTGCTCGTGAAAATAATTGTTATACGCTAATAACATGCTAAAAGTGAGAAAATTATGAGTCAGCTTTATGGAATACTTTTCAGCGCCAATGATTTTTAGAGGGGTGGAGTTGTATTTTTTGTTTGGGGAAAACACAAGTTACCTTAGCAACATGTTGAGTGGATCGAAACTATGGGACAGCATTAAGGGATAGCATCGACCATTTTGTTGTTGACGTTACGATAGAAACAAGCTGATTAAATTGATATATATGATACAAGAAGAAGAAAAAATCGACCGTTATGCACAATCAGTCGATTGGATATCGAGCCTCATTATAATCAATAACACCGCCGCGTCACACTTTAATGCTTTCACTTCGGTAGAATAATGGATGGCATAGTTTTTCTCCCAAACGTTTGTACTTTCAAAGTTTGTTTACTCGAATTCTGAGAATAAAATAGGGTTCATTACCCTGGACGAGGTTTGCAATTGTGAAATAGAAAAACTCTCCTTTTTCGGAAGAAAGAACCCTATTTCATCTCCCGACTTATCATGAAAAACATTTGAAATGACGAGCATCCGGAGAAACGCACCTTGGAATTGTGAACCGTAGGAATAAAGAATCTTTCTGATTATTAAATCTTGGGAATTATGTATCTCCGAGATAATGAACTTTCGGAATCATAAAACTTCGACAAAAAACTAAATAAACTCGGTTTAGTAGACTAATTGTCCGACAAGGTTACATTCAGCATAACTAAATTAATGAGTCATTTTAAACATCATGTTGGTCATCATATTGTCCCGACTGAAACTTTCTTCAAAATAAACAAACAAATAATCATCATGCTTACAAGAAAACTAATGGAAATGAAATTTCTCATTCTACACCTAAATGTTGAATTTGAGACATTTAGAAATTATGAGATTTGGAATACTTATCGGCCCCAATGTTTTTGGAGAGGTGGGGTTTTATTTTGTTTGTTGGGGGGGGGGGGGGGACACATGTTACCTTAAAAACATGTTGAGTGGATCTAAATTATGGGATAGCAGTATTGGATAGATACTGATAGCGTCGACCATTTTGTTAGTACTTGCAAAAATTATCTCGAGTGTATAAACTGTGTTGTTATCAGTAGCGTCGATCGCTCGACGTTTCATAAAATTATTAGAGAAAGAAGACGATTCGTTGTACTGTTTACGACTTTTAATCCTTGTCTGAATACAGTTTCCCCCCTCCAGCGCAAAGCGCGGAAGCCTCGCCGTTTTATTAAATGAATACTTTTAATCCTTGTCTGAATTCATTTTTCGCCCATCCCGTGCAAATCGCGGAAGCTTTCATGTTAAATTATTAGAGAAAGATGACGATTCGTTGTATCGTGTCCTTGTCTGAATTCAGTTTCCAGCAATCTGGTTTCCATTGTCAACACAAACTTACAATCATCACTGTACACATAGATTGGCATATTGCAAGCTTTGCATGGCACGCACACACATGAGCTGACTAGCCATCCGGGTAAGTTCAAAGTCCGACCAGACCCATGTACTATGAGCTGGTTACCACGCACCGCGCCTGTATCGAGTGTCGCGACTATTATTGGGTCGCGTGCCAGCTAGGAATACATGCCTTACAGGATTTTGTGAAAGAAAGTTAAATATAAAAATAACACAAAAAAGCGTCATTTGTGGCTGTCGGTTGTGTGACAATTTCGTAAAAGAAACATAATGATGTACATTAAATAAATCATACAAAAACAAATTTGTAGTGGGTGATGCAGCACCCCCAGCACCCCCCTCATCCCAGGGCCCTGCACTTTCAAAAATATTATCGTTATGCATCAAAATATGCGCATCCTATCCCCAAGGTGCAAGGAGAGGGGGACACGAATAATTACGTCACGAAGAAGTAAGAAGGAGTTTTCAGATGAAAAGGAGGTTGATGTGATTTCTGTTATAAGAAATATATAAATAAAATGAATGATTGTTTTTGTACAAGTCAATATGTATTATGCTGCGGGACTTCGCCAATAGGAGGCGCTGTCCAGTGAGTCTAATCGTAGGTATAAGCTTCTTTCCTCTGTTCTTTCCGTTCATAGTAGAAAATACTAATCACCCTTTCCCGATGCTAGGTTGTATATAACGTGATAAAAGAAGTTCTCTAATTTCAATTTTATATCCTCACATTCTCTCAGTCTATATGTTCATCACGTCTATTCAAATTCTCTCAATCATTTATACCGCTTATTATCATTTTTTAAATAAATCATTTAAAATGTGTCTCTCCCTTTATCATCTTCGTACAATCTGTTTACAATCTTTATTTCTTCCATTCAAATCCATTTACCTTTTTCAATTTATATGTCTTAAAAAGCTCTTACTTTATTATCTTCTCACATTCTCTCACTCTTTTGTTTTCCTCTCTTTTAAATCATCTTACTCCCTTTCATTCACAAATTTTCTCCCTTCATCACCTTCTTATAATCTTTATCTGAGTCTTCCTTTCAAATTAAATCACTCTATCATACATCTCTTTCATGACAAATATATCTCACTTTAAATCAATATCTTCTCACATTCTCTCACTCGTTATCTCTTCCTTTCGAATTTTCTCACTAAATTATACATGTCTTTCCTTACAACTTCTCTCAATTTCTCCTCTCCACTCTTTCTCATGTGCTGTGTATCTCTCTTCTTCTTACTCAAACAAAACAATTGACAGGATAGCAATTGAAACTAATTATTGCACGTCAAACAAACATTTAATCACTAATACTACTATTTCAATGACTTTAGAAAATAAATCATCCTGTGAAAGTGCCAACTCCCATCGTTTCAAATTTGCCTATTTACATCAGCTTTACTTATACAATAAATAGTATTATTAGTTTGGAAATAATAGTTATATTTCATTCCGGTCATGATCGGTCATGTTCACGTTTGATATTTGATAACTAACGGTTTTTCTATTTTACTCAAATCCGGCACAAGTGGATGTTGACATGGTATTTCATAAACAATGTTGCTCAGTGAAGCGTGTATAGATTAATGTAATCAATGTATCATAGGAAAGCATTATACTTCTACCCTATGGAAACAAGGAATCGTATCATACACCTTATCAGTGGCGTAGACAGGTTCGTACGCCTGGGGGGGATGACTCAGGGGCGGATCTAGCTTTTTGCTAAGGGGGGGGGGGTTGACCAATAATGACGATGCGGAGCATCGTCCACGAGCCGCGAAGCGGCGAGCCGATTTTTTTTGGGGTGTTTATTTGAACCCCGTAAGTGATGTTTACCTGGCATCTATTAACACAATGGAGACCATAAAAAAAAGTTACCAGATGAGTTGAATATCTTCTCACAATATTTGCACTTGAAAGGGTTTCTCTCCAGCGTGCGTTCTCTTTTCTTTCTTTTTTTTTTTTTTTCTTTCTTTTTCCCCCTTTTTTTGTTTTTTGTTTTTTGGGCCGCCCAAGGGGGGGGGGGGGGTTTAAACCCCCTAAACCCCACCGTAAATCCGCGCCTGTTTAATCTTGTGGTTATCTTGTGGTTTCCAAACCACAAGATAACCACAAAATACTTGTAAGATCTTTTTTTGACCGTCTGAATTGGCTTTCACCGTGTGAATGCGGCTAATAACAATAGTCACAATTACAATAATGATTATTATTATCATCATCATAATTATTATTATCATTAATATTATAATTGTTATCATTATTATTATTACTATTATTATCATCATTATGACTTATTAAGTAAGCAAATATCATTCCCCAAAACCTGGGGGGGGGGGGGGATGATTGCACCAGGCGCGGATCCAGGATTTCTTAGGAGAGGGGGCCCAACTTTTTTTTTTTCAGTGGGGGGGGGGGGGGGGGGGGGGGGGGGGGGGGGGGTAGTGAGCACTTTTTTTTTTTTTTGATCCTCAGAAAAAATTTCAATTTGCACCCCCCCCCCTTGAGCGCCAGGGGGGGGGCCCAACCCCAAAAAAGGTAAAAATCACGTGATTTTACATGATTTTTTTTCTCAAGGGGGGGGGGGGGGGCCGGGCCCCCCGGGGGCCCCCCCCTGGATCCGCCACTGGACTGGATTGTACATGCCATCCCCCTCATCCCCCCCGTTGTCTACGCCCCTGCACCTTATAGATATTCACAAGATCTATTTGTTTTCGAGTTTCATATTTTCTGGGACGCAGTGTATAGTTGATAATTTATAAACCAAACATCTTACTTTAAATTACCTCATTTTTTACATTGAAACCATATTGTTTTACCTTAAGTTTTGAAGATGAAATATTGACTTTTATCTTTCTTTATTCGTTTGCCTTGCCTTGAATTACTTATATGACATAGTGCCATGCATTGTTTGTAGTTTTCAGTGAAAAAATACATTAATTATTCATTGTATTTGATTTATTTAGGTAATGATTATGAAACATAAATAAGACAAACTTGAAACTTAAAACAAGTAAATTATGTCATAAAATGCCGTGCATTTCGACACATCGACGTTACAATATTGTTTCGTTATTCACTAGTTCTATTTGTATCTGAAGTGTAAGCTCATTACTCGTGACCACAGACAGATATGTACAAGACAGTATATGATATGTATATGTATATGTACATGTACATCTGTACGTGTATTTACAGGTACATGTTTAAGTACGTATATCATAGACCCTATAAATACTTATGCTAGGAGTCCACTGGGCCGGCGCCAGTGGTGCCAGTTTGCGCCAAAGATTATGTGATTGGCGCGTAGTGGCTCGCTGTGGCGCCGAATTACTGTCCGCTCGGCAGTGTCGCCAAGTGGAATAAACTGGGTGCCATATGGCGTGCGCCAAATGCCACCCGGCTTGCTCCAAACTGTTGCGCCAGTTGCGCCAGTTCGCGCCATTACACGGCCATTGATTCAAAAATTCACCTGTTGGCGCCATTCGCGCCAATAGACGGCTACTTTGCGCCACTTGGTGATTATTTGTGCCAAAGGTCGCCAAATGGTTTGAACTTGCCGCCGCTTGGCGCTACTTGCCGACTATATAAATACCGGCCATCGGCTACTGGTTCAGACCCTCCTCAGCTGCTGTATGAACAACATCTCTACTAAATATTTACAATTTTGATATGTGTGAGGCTTTTGATAATGTTGGAGTGATGATGCTGCTCCATCAGAAGATGATGAGAGATGCTGAGGTGGCCACTGCCTATCAACTTATGCTGGCCAGTCCTGAAGAAGAAGAGCCTCCTAAGAAGAAAAGGAAGCAAAACTGGTGTTTAGACCCATGTTGAGGGCCGAACGTGGACAGTACCACACTATGACAGGAGGAAGTTCAAGAACTACACCAGGGTGTCCCCAGAGATGTTTGATGACCTGTTGGTCAGGCTTACACCCCACTTGCAGAAGAAGGACACCCACTTCAGGAAGGCCATTCCCCCTGGTCTCAAGTTGTTCGTCTTCCTGCGCCATCTCGCCACTGGGGCCACCTATGCCGAGCTGTCTTACAACTTCCGAGTGAGCAAGGAAGCCATCCAGAAGTTTGTTCCTGATGTAGCCAGAGCGATAGTGGATGAGTATACTGCAGAAGTCATCTCCCTCCCACAACCAATGAAGGCTGGCTTGAGGTTGCAGGTGATTTTGAAGCCAGATGGAATCTTCCTCACTGTCTCGGGAGCCTATGATGGAAAAGCACATCCATCTCAGAAGCCCAACAAATCAGGGAGCCTTTACTTCAAACTACAAGCAGTTCTTCTCGGTTGTCCTGATGGCTCTGGTAGATTAAAAGTACCAGTTCGTGTGGATCGATGTGGATGGGTTTGGCCATCAGTCTGATGACCAGATCTACAACAACAGTGAACTGGAGGAGTGCATTGAAGCTGGCACTTTAGGCATCCAGATCCAGCTCCTCTTCCCCATGATGATGAAGAGCACCCTATGCCGTACTTCTTCGTGGGAGACGATGCCTTCGCCATGAGGACGTACATGATGAAGCCCTATGGCCGTCGTAACATGGTTCAACGGCAGAAGATCTTCAACTACAGGCTGTCCAGGGCAAGGCGTGTGGTTGAAAATGCCTTTGGCATTCTGGCTCTGTGGTTCCAGTGCTTCCTTGGCCAGATGAGACAGGAACCAGACACAGTCCGCCTGCTCGTTGAAGCTGCCGTCATGCTGAACAACCTCATCAGGAAGCGCTATCAGGCACTGGACGTCCGCATGTTGGACCAGGAGGATGCCCAGCACAACCTCATCCCTGGAGCTTGAAGAACTGCCGCCATCACTGTGAGAAAGTCCTGCGATGCCGCCCTGCTTTTATAGGCGGCAAGTGGCGCCGAATGACGGGCAACCAGGTGGCATTTGGCGCGAAGTAGTCACCAATCGGGTGCCGTTTGGCTCGCGTAGTGGCGCAAACAAGGTGCCCTTGGCTCCAAGTGGCGCCATGTGACGCGAAATCTCATTGGCGCAACTTGGCGCGCGCCATTACATTCCAGTGGATTCCAATAGGCGGATTGTTTGCGCCAAAGGGTGATATGTTCGCGCCATTTGGTGCCACTTGGCGGACACTTGGCGCTGATTGCTCGATGCAAGTGGCGCGACGAAAATTTCAAACATTTTGAAATTTTCTTGCCGCCACATTCAAATTTGGCGCCGTTACGGGCCACCACGAGCCAGTTGGGAGGCAGTTTGAGCCACTATACGCCACTAGGCACCTTATTGGCGACACTAGGCGCACAGTAAATTGCATTGGCGCAAACTGGCACTAACTGGCGCCGGCCCAGTGGACTCCTAGCACTACACAAACTGCACTTTTATGTTGTAATCAAATATCTTCGACGCTTCATCGTTTCATGAAGCACTACCTAATATTATACAATAAAGTTTGAAAAAAGTCTCTCGGCAATAAAATGAGATTCTATAAAATACAAAAAGAACAAACCGCCACTACTTCTAATCATCAATATAATTATTTCTAAACTTATTGATGTAAAGGTGTAACGTGCTCCGTCTTTTAAACATCATGAATCAACACCTTTAACAATGGTTTCAGTGCTCTTCGTGTGAAAATTAGTGCATGGAACGGCAAAAACCACAAACTCGAACATTCCTAAAGCCCCGATAGACTTATGCAAACAATAACAAAAGAACGAAAATCCGATTTGTTTTCTTCTTCCTGGTGGGTGTGGGGGGGGGGGGGGTATTCCCTTGCCCCCAACCAATCCCCATTTAGGTGTTCAGATGCAATCAGTGGTGCAACCAGGTGGTATGAAAAATTGAAAGAAACAAATCCAATATTCATATCCCCACTTCTTTCTCGCATATGAATCTATATTGTATGTAGCAATCCCTATCATGCCATGTACTATATTGATCCTTACACTCAATACGAAAACAGCCTACATTCTCATTGAACGAATCCTGGAAAAAATTGCTATATGCAAGACTTGATCCGTCTAGCCACCTTGCCTCACTGAGACTTGAGCCGGTTAGCCCGATCCAGTAATCAGTCTCCTTGGTATGTCGGTAGTACTCAACATGCCGCGCGATGAAATCCTCCTCCTCTTGCGATTCGATGAAGACCAGATGGGATCCGTATTGGGAACAAGCTGAAACCGCAGAAGAATGATCCATCTCCGAAGTGCTGAAATTGTAGAATGACCCGCCGAATTCACAATCCACCGGAGGGGATGAGCATGCTGAAAAGATGAAAAATACAATATGTAAATTACTCAATTTTAAGAAAGTAGACAAAGTGGTTATTTGGATAAAAACTGAAATATTTAAAGAAAAAAAGATAATGATGATGATGATGACGAAAATAATAATAATAATAAAAGTCGATGCAAAGACATGAACAAAATTACAGCTATAAAAATCAATACCTACAGAAACTTTGCTCACCATCGCAGATAGCAATGGTATTTCATACAGTTGTTTTTGTTTTATGAATGAAACATAGGGGAGGAGGAGGGAAGGGAGAGAGCGAGAGCGAGAGAAAGAGAGAGTGAGAGAGGCAGACAGACAGACAGAGAGATAGAGAGAAGGGGAAAGTGGTAGTGGCAAGACCCATTATAATGATGATCAAATGCATGACGTCAATGTATTGTTTCTATTACTTAGACTCAGATAAAGACTGAAAGAGTGACAATATTAATATGCATTTATATAGCATCTATCTAGACAACTCTATTCCGAGGCGCACTAATTATTACCCCGGCTTTAGCCTTGCTGCCATTACGGCGCTCCAGTATTTCAAGGAATTAATTCCTACCAGATACCCATTTACCTCACCTAGGTCGAGTGCGGCAAAGGAAGATTAGTTGCCATTAGGCATTACGGCGCTCTATTATTTCAAGGAATTAATTCTTACTAGGTTCCCATTTATCTCATCTGGGTCGGGTGTGGCAAATGGAGATTGATGCCTTGCCAAAGGACATTAATGCCGTGTCGGGGATTGAACCACGAACTTTGAATTTCAAGTCAAATGCTTAAACCACTCGACTGACACACAAAGATGAAGAGAGAGCGAAAGAGGGATGGAGGGGGTGGTCGGTGAATAGGGAGGGGAGAAAAGAGGAAGAGGGTGAGATAGGTAAGAGAGGGAAGGTGTAGTTGCTTGACACATTATAATAATGATCGAAAGCATGACATCATTTCATTGTTTCTCTTACTTACTGGTAGCGGTGGTTTCTGGCGATGTCGTTGTGGCTGACACCGTGGTCATAGGCCTCGTAGATGTCTTGGTCGCCACGTCCGTAGTCGATAATTCTGCTGACTCTGAAACGTTTGAAGGTTGTTGCAAATGAAACCACACTTACAAAGCAATATGATTAGGAATGACAACCTGAACATGATTACAGAAGGCCAAAACAAAGAAAATTGTGCTCCATGACAACATATAAATTGTAAAAGTCTATTTATTTCATGTGGTATTATTTGTGTTTGTAGATTTAGTGATGCTTTGTCAAAGCCCATGAATTTTACCAAATAATTTATCTAAATGTGTTTGTTGTCATTAAACTCGTGAGCGAACGAATGAGACGGGCGCCCGTGACAGGAAAGGGATAAAGGCTGAGAGAGAGAGAGAGAGAGAGAGAGAGAGAGAGAGAGAGAGAGAGAGAGAGAGAGGAGAGAAAGAGAGAGAGAGAGAGAGAGAGAGAGAGAGAGGGGATTTTTAATTTTTTTTTTACTTGAGGTGGTGGTTTCTTGCGATGTCGTTGCCTCTGATCGTTCTGGCATCACGGTGGCCGTAGGGCTCATCGCGGACTTGGTTTTCGCTTCCGTTGTCACCGACTCTGAACGGAATAAAAAATAAAAAATAAAATTAATTAAAAATTAATTGAGTGGAACAAAAAAGGAGCGGAGTCAGGTATTGATAGGGCATCAGACAGACAGATACAAAGAACATGCAAAGAGGGAAGAAGAAGAACAACAACAACAACAACTAAAACCTGGTCGTTAAATTTATAGACAAAATGTAAATTTAAAAATTTGACGGGCACTAGCTGCCTCCTTATAAAGTGTTTGAGCGACGCTCATGAAAGAATGACCAAACAAATAAATAAGACTAGAACAAACAAGAATTAGACGGTCACTTCCCCCCTTAAAAAGTGTTTTAGCGACGCCCAGAAAGGAGTGAAAAATAGAGTCAGATATAGACCGAGAGAGTGGGAGAGAGAGGGAGAGAGAGAGAAGGGGGATATAGTGGCTAGACCCATTATGATATTATGATCAAAATAAATGCACGACGTAGACATACTAGACGTAGTGGTGTTTTGGGAAGTCGTTGTGTATGAGCGTTCCGATATTGTACTCGTAGGGCTCATCGTAGGCTTGGTCGTCGCTTCCGTCGTTGACTGTATGATCACTGAAAATACCAAATAACAACAACAAATAAACATAACTGAGATAAATGACGATGCATAACATTATTTTCATTGAAATATCTCCCCGCCGGCTGTCTCAACGCGCTCTTAGTCAGGGTACGGGGATAAGGTCAAGAGCGGAGGCGGGGGGGGGGGGGGGCTGATAAAAATCGGAGAAATATTTTCCCGGTGGGACTCCCAATTCTATGAAATAGCTCCGAAAGAGGGCAGTGATGTACTTTCTTTTTAATCATTATCATCCTCTTCTTCTTCTTCTTCAGTTGCAGTACCGGCAAACGTCATGTATTGTCGTACTGGTGAGGTGCAGTGCAGAATGTATGTACAATTTCTGATAAAAGATACAGCAAACTCTTTGCTCTTTGCTCATTCATTGGCCACTCATTATTTGCTCATTAATTGGCCCGATACTATATTATATTACACCTACTTTCATCGCAGTGTCTCCCTTGAAACCCACTTGAGCAGGTACAGTTGTAGCCTACCATAGTCTCTTCACACCAGCCGTTGTTACAGAGGTTTTCGTCACAATCTGCGAAATAAGTTATAAACAGGATAATACTCATTATCATATATATATATATATATATATATAAAGCTTCCAAGTGGTACAATGAATCAGTGTATTTAATATCTTTAGCGTAGTGCCCAGATGACAGATCCATATATGACAGAAAATAATAATAATATTGTATGGCTTTGTTTTCGTGTGATACAAGAATATATTGCTCTTGCCATTACAATATTGGACTCGTCTGCGACTGGTCCAATATTGTCATAGCGATAGCAATATATCGACGAATCCGATATCGTTAACTCATCTGCCATTTCACCGTTATCAAACGAAATACCAACCAATATAATTATAAACCATCAATAATTAATACTCAAATAACCCAGTAGCCTGAAATTAAATATCAATGAATTTGCTATTAATGGATTGCCAGTCAGTCTTCTCGCTCTTTTGAATAGTCTTCTAAATAAACGATAGTTGTTACTTTTCGGCTGGAACGATTCAGTTTCACAATCTTAATAGGTTTTACAAATTAGGATGGCATTGTCACTGGGTCGTAAAGAGTTTTAGTTCCCAGGATTATCTTCGACATTCGATTGAGTTAAAACAGAACAAAAATATAAGATATTCTTCTTGTCATGATGGGACAATAATTTTGTCACATACATTTTCTATTATCATTATCATGATTATTATAATTGTTGTTTTTGATATCATTAATGTTAGCATAATAATCATTATCATTATTATATTATTTTATCATCATTGTTACTAATATTAATATTATAATCATACGTATTCATATTATCATCATCTTCATTACTATTATCATATTTTTTTCATCGTTACTATTACTATTACATATTATCATAATTGTTATTGTTAGTAGTAGTCATCGTAGTGTAAGTATTAATATACATAGCAGTAGTAGTAGTAGTAGTAGTAGTAGAAGTAGTAGTAGAAGTAGTAGTAAAAGTAGTTGTAGTAATAATAGTAGTAGGAGTAGTAGCAGTAGTATAAGTAGTAGAAGTAGTCAGTAGTAGTAGAAGTAGTAGTAGTAGTAGTAGTAGTAGTAGTAGTAGTATTGTTAGTAGTAGTAGTAGTAGTAGTAGTATTAGTAGTATTAGTAGTAGTAGTAGTAGTAGTAGAAGTAGTAGTAGTAGTAGTAGTAGTAGTAGTAGTAGGAGTAGTAGTAGTAGTAGTAGTAGTAGTAGTAGTAGTGGTATTAGTATTAGTATTAGTAGTAGTAGTAGTAGTAGAGGTAGTATTAGTAGTGGGGTAGAGGTAATAACAGAAGTTGTAGTAGTAGTAGCAGTAGTAGTAGTAGTAGTAGTAGTAGTAGTAGTAGTAGTAGTAGTTGTAGTAGTAGTAGTAGTAGTAGTAGTAGTAGTAGTAGTAGTAGTATTAGTAGTAGTAGTAGTGGGGTAGAGGTAATAACAGAAGTTGTAGTAGTAGTAGTAGTAGTAGTAGTAGTAGTAGTAGTAGTAGTAGTAGTAGTAGAAGAAGTTAGGAGTTGATATCAAACGTTAATGATATCACTGAAGTCCGTGTTATCTGCATGTAGATTTATTGATTAAACAAAGAAACGAATTTGAAATATGAGAACAAAAATGAATAAAAAATAAAACCTACATGGGATTCTGCATATTCTATGCCCGCCCGGGATCCCTTCTTTACTCTTCCTTTGGTGGCACCCGCCGATGACAGAAGGGAAAGGGATGAGTTTGGGGATGCTCTGCACCATGCTGCCATCCTTGAGTCGCATCATCTTACACTTTTGGAACATGGGCAAAGTGTAATTTAGGCCGTACCAGTCTGAACAAGATGTCTTATCTGATAACACAGGCAAGGCTGTAAAGAATATATAAGAAAATTCATTGCTAATTGTTTTCTTCCTCCTCCTTCTCCTCCTACGCGTCTTCTCCTTCTGCTAGTCCTGCTACTTCTCTCCACTCCCTCCTCGTTCTCCTCTTCCTCCCCATTCCTCCTCTCCTACTCATCTTCATATAGCCCTCATCTAGCCTAATCATCCTCACCTTACATCCCCTTACCGCTCCTCCTCGTCCTTGCCTTACACCCTCTTCTCAATCTTGATGATGCAGGTTTTTTTAACATATATTTGAAACATTTATTAGAGAGACTTTTTTCGGATGTGTTTTTGGTTTGAGATGCCATGTTCATTAGGTCAAGTTTGAGGGCATACATCCTTGTCAATGGTTGTGTCTGCAAAATGTGACTATACAATTGGCTGTGTATACTTAAGCTGTTTGTTTTGACACTGCCAGAAGTAGGCAGATCTACGCTCTGCCCAAGGATTTAGGAATTGTGATAAAGTGTCAAATTATAGTCTGTGCTTGTAGACTAACGTAGTTTTTTCACCTCGCTCTTATTTCGCTTTATTGTGGACATTTTGAAAGCCAGCTATGTTTCTGCAATATTCAACAAAATATTACGGATATGTTAAGTTTAAAAAAATACTTACCGAAGGACAAGCAGGTTACGGTACCAAACAGCAACTTCCAAAATACACCTATCTTTATGTCTTTAGCCTGTATTTAGAAAAAATATTAATATTTTTTAAATCAGCAAGAACAAGAACAAACAACAACTGAAGAAAAACCTGTGATGAGCATTTTGAAACGGATGATAATGGTAATACTGATAATGGTGATGATGATGATAATGATTATACGAGCAATTACCGTTACTTATACAACACATACATGTTCCACTAACGTAATTGATGAGACTTTCACATCTGTCAACGAGATTTTATAAAGGTTTTTTGGTCAATTTCGTAGTTTTTCCAGCAAGTTTGGTAAAACGTTCGTTCAATTTAATGTAAATACTATTTTTGATGGAGACTCTCATTTATTTTAGGGGATCGGGCAGGTTTTTAAAAACATATTTACCTAGAGGGAAGCAGGTTTGTGAGACATGGAATGTGGTAAAAGGTCGGTGGGTACCAACGTGTGGAGGGAACCCCCCTGCACCATTTCTAAGTGGACTTCCTTGAAAATATACTGCTGGAACAAAAAATGGCGGCCATTTTCCAAAAATACTGTTGAACTATCTTTGAGATCACCTTTTACCATGTGTGAGATGTCATATGAAAAAGAATTAAATTTCATACGGGGTGATAACACATTTCATGAAAAATGTTCTTTGATACATATCATCATAAGTGATCTTTTTTGCATTTGGATTTCGTTACCTTTGAGTTTTCAAAGGTTACGAAACCGGTATTCGAGATAAAGACCTTATGCTCCTTACGTATGTGAAATGGCGCAGCGGTCGGACAGAATTAAAATAATCATGAGACAAATTAGTAAACTGTTCAAAACAACGTAAAGGTTATCCTATGCATTGATACAAGATAATGTGAAAGCTTAACTACATTGCATCATTTTAAACAATGAAGCACCAAATCACGAGGCAAAATTTAACTTTATAAAGCATTATGCACAATGGCCTGACTCAAATTCGTTCCATCAGCCCAAACTTGGTACAAGGTAAAACTTTTTAAAGACCTTGGTGCTTATTCACTGCGGGAGGAATATTATGAATAGGCTATCATTTGAAAGAAAATTACTTACCTTTCATCATGAACAAAATTTCAAAGTCATATTAGTTACGAATTTGTATTAGGAGCTACCAAAGTTGTGTACACTTTTTTTTATACGCACTATACATTAAAACGGGAGTTACATAGTATTTCAGTCCCCAATCAGAGACACGGTTCAGGACTTATATGTGATTATGCACCAGGACATGTATGTGATTATGCACCAGGACTTATATGTGATTATGCACCAGGACTTATATGTGATTATGCACCAGGACTTATATGTGATTATGCACCAGGACTTATATGTGATTATGCACCAGGACTTATATGTGATTATGCACCAGGACTTATATATGATTATGCACCAGGACGTATATGTGATTATGCACCGGTTGCACACATACTATCAGTGATGCCCTGGAGAAGCTGAAGCCCGTTAGAGGTGATAATATCAGTTACAAACTCCACACACTCTTGCAAGCACCAAAGATTCTTAAGCACATTGTGAAAAGTGGAAGAGGTAAATTCATGAGAAAATTTCAAATGCGATCCCCTTCACAACCGCCTACGACCACCTGCTAAATGACCAGATACCACAATAAAGTGGAGGTGAAAGAGACATTGTATAGGTAGCAGCAGAGGATTCTATCATCAGGTATCAGCAATGTTTATTTAATTTAGAAGAAAGAATAGGGGCAGAATACAAAATCAGAACCCAGGGCCCCGTCTAATAGACAGTTGGGTTTTATCCAAACTTATCTAAACCAACTTTACATACAAATCAATTCATAAATCTGTATAAACAGTGACGTATATGGATTATGGCGCCGAGAGCAATCGATAAAACTGCGACCCCCCCCCCCCCCCCACTTTATCTACGTAACTGTGCAAGCGAGGGAGCAAGGCGTCCGGCTAAGGAAGTAAGCGCAGCGATCGAGTAGTATCAAAGATGTACGCATTTTGAACATAGAAAGTTGGTTTTCTATTCATTCCTCATTAAGTGTTGAACACAATTAATGAATGAATGAGGGATTTAGCAAGGTAACCAAAATAAAATATTTTTTCAAAAGTTGAATCGCATTTAAGAAATTTAATTATTTTGATGTCAAATTTGGAACCATTTGAAAACGCTATCCCCTCCCCCAATAAACTATCCATATTTTGGGCATAAATTACGAGATCCTGTGCAACATAATTATGCGAGATGCGACCGAGCTTGAGAAAATGTTCTATTTCTAATGTATTTTACCTTGCGTATTGGGGCGCATTTATTAATAAGGATCAATAGTTTTCTTCCTTTTCGCCGCCGACGTATCTCTCTTTTACATTTTTGCTCTCTAAAAATTCACGTGTCACGTCGTCAGGAGAGGATAGTGACAGTCAACCTGTTCGAAACGTCGAGCCAACTCCCGCCACTCATCCTCTCCAAGCGCTATAGTTCTCCTTAAAACTATAAGCTATAGAAAGATAACCAACAGCCCTTTTCAAGACTATGTACCAACTGTCCTTTTCAGGACTAACAAACCCTCAAGAAAGATTACCGAATCTTTCGTCTGCGGCTGATTGTCAAAGAAACGGAGTTTGGTCTTTTGTTAATTCTGTTTGTTGCTACGGCCGGGAGCCAGTGAAAACGAATTCGTTTGATAAAATTATGGAAATGCAAGCACTATTTTAAAGGTACTATGCCCCTTTTGCAGCCAACCTCAAATTCTATAGAACTTTGCAAGAAGTATGAATATGTCATGTATGTCCTATCTGTAAAATGTAAACGTTAGCAGTGTTCTAATATTCAAATTATGCAAGGAAACCCGTTTTCTTGCTAGACGTCACTGTCAGACACTATTGAGTGACTGACTGGCTTATTTCTTCTTTGGTAATAACATACATAAAATGAGCTGTTAGGGGTACATGAGCATTTGTCTACATCAATAACCCACTTCTTTTGATTGCCAAAATTAAACCAATTAAATCTTTCCACAGCATAAAACGTATGACAATTCGGTACAATGGCCTGAAAATCAAGACTATTACTTATTGGCTCTATGGCTCCTAAGTCGATTTAACAGCTAATAGTCGTTATTTTCCCACTTGAAGACTTTTTCAAGCCCCCCTTTTTTAGGAAAGTTCTAAATTACTATTATCTATCAAATGCCGTTGGAATTTAACCTTTTCATTGTTGGCCTGCAAATGGGATATAGTACCTTTAAACAAACAGAACTTTGTTATTCCTAGCTCATCTTTCCTGACTGAGGTGTCATACGAAAGGGCTGGAACTCAACTTTCTAAAAATGTGATTTTCTCTTTGAAATTCAGATACAGTTCGCCAAATGACTTTTGGGTTTCCTCTCTTCAAATTCATTTTAATCCCTCATGCGTAAAATATGCATCATATGACTTGCATCAAATGAAAGAAGAGGATTTAAGCTTTCCAAATATGTGTCATTTATTAATTATAAATGTGACTAAGTTATGATAAAACATCGATAATTCTCGGTTTCGTTTTTTCTGGGACGCACTGTATAATAGTTATACATGGCGGCCAATTTAAGAGCAGCATACTTTCAAGCGAGTCTTGCACATGTGCCATGCGAGATTCATTCAAATTCATCGAAGTAACTGAATAATTTCAATGAACGAAATGCTAAGTCGGTTGCTCAAAATGATTTTGAATGTATGAAGGACAGGATTACGTAATCATGTCATTCTAAAATGTATGTACGCCTGACGAAAAGCGTAAATCACCAACGAATTAGAATGAGGAACATTATAATTTGATTTAATCAAACGCGAATTTAAATGCACAGATCATGAATTTATACTTTCGAATAGCAAGACTGGGACAAATCATTTTTCTATTGAATGAATTTTAAAAGTTGCGAAATTGGCCACGAAGATCTATACTTTCTCTTTTCTTCTGTTCTTTTAATTTTTTAAATGTTCTTCTGTTTGTATTCTTCTTCTCCTCATCTCTTTTTATTTTCTATTTTCTTCATCCTATATTATTCTTTCTTCTTTTAGGCCTGATATAGATCAAATATGGACGTTCAACTAAAAAGAGCATGAAATTTGCCCAATAGACCAGTTCGTAGTTAGTGCATATTAAACATTTATTCACGAAGACTCCAGTCTAACTCAAGCTTTTGCTTTCTTTGGCTGAAGTCTCATGTGCAATTACATTTCTTTAAACTTGAAAAACACAGCTATTATTCATTTAGTCACGAGTCACTCTCCTTTTCATCACAAGAACATTGCTTCCCATGCCTCTCTGTTTGAGTCATTTATGAAATGTTTAATCTAAGAAAACAAATCTATTCTCTTTACATTGTTTGTTTTGCACATTCAT